CATGTTTATTGTATGAGTTCATAAAACCCATTCTATTACATAGTAAAAGTCCATCTCAAGATGTCTGAAATTTTAATGAAAATCAGAGAAAAAAAAAACTTGTCACAAGAAATACAGATGTGAAATATGAAAGCCATAGTTTCAAACAATTAAAAGTTATTGTCAACTTAGGTATTTTAACATATTTGACCTGAGACCTTGCAGTTAGACCCAGTTTAGCAAAATTTTACCAAACTTTGCCCTGGTCATAACTTTTGAAAAGTCGTTGCTAGTACTTTTATAAATTGTGCATTACCATATAAGTAGAAATTTTAGTAGGATTCAATTTGGCATTTATAGCATGGATGTTGAGATCACTAAGTCTAAATACCTGCATAACATGGCTAATGTAACGTGTTGAGGGGTCCGTACCTGGTTGATTCCAGGATCTCGGGTTTAGATTGATATTAATAACAAATATTTACATTCACTGTGTTTTTCTACTAAGCCAAATGTGAAATTGGTTTGAAAACCATTTTCGTGTATACTCACGCGTAGAAATATACACGGATAAACGTGCGTTAACGTGACGTCACAATAAGGCAACAGCGACATTAATAAAAGTATAACGATATAGGGCAGCGAGAAATACAAATATTGAATATATTTTTGGTGCTTCCAAACATGTAAAATGTAAGTATAAGTTACCGCGCTTCATGAAACATGCCTATGTGACAAGTCTGTATGATTCACACACCAATAACTCACACAAAACTTAAAAACATTCCTTAAATAATTTTCCTCTTAAAATGATTGTATCAAATGATTGGCCTGCAAATATATACAAATATGGCCCTTCCCTTACACTTGATGGTCGGCCTTATATTTACAATAGAAACGGGGTTCACAAATGACACCGAACCGACACCAGTATTGCCTTTTTCAGGCTCGTAGTGTCCTACCTCTGCTAGTGACCAGCATCTGATAACAGAAGATACTGAATTGTCCTTATTCAAGCCATACAGTCATCCAATGCTATTAGGGACCTGCATTCACTGTGTCTTTCAAGATAACAGGCAATCCTCTTAGAATTGACTTTCCTCTTCAAATGGTCTGCCTCTAAGTGGTAAGTGACGAAATCACAATACAACCAATTTATTGTGGCAAACCTTCGCTGACAGGTAATCCATGTACCCTGTAATATTATTAAATAATAATTATTGTGGTAAGCCTCAGCATAAGGGCATCAACCCAACTAACCTTATCTCTGAATATCTCTCTTCTTCCCTATGCCAGTCACCTGCGTGGCGCCAGTGGTTAGAGCGTCTGCTCTCGACAAGTCGAGTCCCGAAGTAAGGAGTTGATCCTTACATTGCGGGTTCGAATCCCACTGTGGGACGTGGAGACCGGTCCTTTGGTTGAGACCGTATATAAACCGAGTTCCTGTGTCGCAGTAGGTGCTGGCAAAAAAGATCCCTTCCTGCTCAATGGCCCTGGGTGCCGAGTGTTGGACAAAATTTGCAGCTGTCCATCGGCAGGTCACTAAATGCCCTTACCAAAATACTCACCTTCTGGCAACGTCTGGCATTATTGCCGCAATATTGTAGCAACATTCTGGCAATACATTACGGTAATATTGCGGTAATATCGTTTTTCGTATGTAAATTAGATTTGCGGCAATATTGCCAGAAAAGTGTTGCGGCAATATTGTAGCAACATTCTGGCAATACATTGCGGCAATATTGCGGTAATATCGTTTTTCGTATGTAAATTAGATTTGCGGCAATATTGCCAGAAAAGTGTTGCGGCAATGTTGCAGCAAAGCAATTGCAGTACATGTATTATTTCAGGTTGTGCTGCAGCAATATTGGGGCAACACTACAGTACTACATAAGGTAATTAATAGAAATAATGGTCTATCAATATAACAATTAACAAACTGTGCTGAGGAACGTAACAAACAATAGCAAGCCACGGGGTCAATAAGAATTAGCTACTTCTGCTATTCTTTGAACTAATAAAAAAATTATGTTGATCATCATAATAAAAATCAAGATATGTTTGTGAAACACTATGCGCCTGGTGACAACAAAGTTTGAAAAACTATTTATAGCATATAGGTCACAGTCAAGGTCACAAGGTTATTTAATGTTATTTGAAAGAGCTTAATTAGTGAAGGGCGCATACCAAATACCAGTTCTCTATCTTTTATGGCTCAAAAGTTTCAAAAAATGTATTTTAAGCATATGGTCACAGTCAAGGTCACAAAGTCATTGACCTTGGTGTCATTTAATGGAGTATGCAAACTAAATATGAAGTCTCTATCTTTTATAGTTCAAAATTTATGGCAGAGATTCAAAACGGCTATTTTTAGCATATGGGTCACAGTAAAGGTCACAAGGTCATTGACCTTGGTGTTATTTGAAAGAACTTAATTAGTGAAGGGCGCATACCAAATACCAGTTCTCTATCTTTTACGGCTCAAAAGTTATGTCGAAGGTTCAAAAAATCTATTTTAAGCATATGGGTCACAACCAAGGTACAAGGTCATTGACCGTGGTGTCTTTTGAAAAATCTTAATTAGTGAATTATGCATACTAAATATAAAGTCTCTATCTTTCATGATTTTAAAGTTATGGTGAATATTCGAAGAAGCTATTTTTAGCATTTAGGTCACAGTCAAGGTCACAAGGTCATTGACCTTATCATTTTAAAGAACTTAATTAGTGGAGTATGCATACCAAATATGAAATCTCTATCTCTCATCGGTTCAAAAGTTATGGTGAAGATTAAAGTTAACAAACAGACAGGACAAAAACAATACGCGCCCCAGTCTATCCATGCAGGCACTTCAAAAATGTTTATAGAAACAATATCAATATGCCACTGTGAAAATGTCCAGCAACTCTGCATTAATTTTCAAATAACATGCATTCGTCTTTTCCTGCACCACCAGGATTATATAGATCCACATACAAGTCTAGTATGCTTGCATCACAAGCACTAGTTGAAACACATATAAGTTTTCCAATTTTATCTCCATAGAATCATTCATCTCAGAAAGAATATGGTTTTGACTCACCAAGTCTGATCATATATGGAAACAGAGTAGACATTCTTATAATTCTGCTGAAATTCTTATTTCTAGCCATTCCACATTATGCAGCCTTACTACTCATCTTGTCTAATCCCACTGTACACAATTAACAACTCTAATTAACTTGATACAAGTCAGTAATGAAGCAAAATATGCTTGCCTTTGAATTCCCTCCACTTTATTTAAAAAGAGGAAGTAAATGACTGACCATGCTCAACAAATGGCTCATGGGTAATCCTAGATGTTGCCAGAAAGTTTTTTTTTCTGGCAGTATTGCCAGAATGTCACCAGAAGTTGTTGCAGCTAGCGGTGATATTTCGCTAACCCAAAAAGCTTGTTTCTGGTGACAAAAATGTGTTGCCGCAATTTTGCTGCAATAATTTTACTTTGGTAAGAGTGGTTCTCCATATTAGTGAAAAATTCTCGAGAGGGACGTTAAACAATATACAATCAATCAATTATTACCTCTGCCGACTGAACTTAAAGAACCCCTCAGCTTAGCTGTGCTCGCTTATATACCTTTTTTAAGGTCACGTGATCTGCTTTAGCCAAAGGCAGATCTTCAAAGGCCGACTAGCATAATTTTTGAATACACAAAGCTACATCTTTACACTAACATTTTATTTCACATTAGAGATTACTACTGTATTTAACATAAGAGATTATGTTTTTATGTACATAAAAATTGGCTGAAATTTCTTCTTGCTTAAATAAAATGCTAATATTGATTGATTGATTGTATATTGTTTAACGTCCCTCTCGAGAATTTTTCACTCATATGGAGACGCCACTACTTGCCGGTGGAAATTTTGTCCTATACTCGGCACTGAGGGCCATTGAGCAGGGAGGATCTTTTTTGTGCCAGCACCTACTGCGACACGGGACCTCGGTTATACTGTCTCATCCGAAGGATCGATCTCCATGTCCCATAGTGGGATTCGAACCCGCGACGTAAGGATTGACTCCTTACTTCGCGACTCTTAGAGCAGATGCTCTAACCACTGCACCACGCGGGCGACCTGCTAATATTGAAGGAAAATTCTTAAATTTGGGTCTTGCTAAAAGTTCCCCTTTTTTACGGTACATGAGTCTTACCTTGGGTACCAAAAATCTTGACCCTGGAGTTTAATCTAATTTTGAAAAATATAATTTTTGCTATAACTTTTGAACAGTTGATGCTAGGGCTTTGACATATATGTTTCTTGAGGCAAGACCTCCCCTTGTGTACCAACAATTTTTATCTTTGGTCCTTGACTTTGGATTTAGACCTACTTTTGATCTTAGCCTTGGCCTTAACTGTTAAATGGTTGGTGCTAGAGATTGCATATTTCACATGTGTATTTGTTATGAAGACCTTCCCTTGTGCATCAACAAATTTGATCTATTGACCTTCGAGTTCGATGTGTTTAATAAACTTTCACCTTCGCCATAAGCTTTCATATGGGGGCATCATAAGCACATCCTTGTAAAAATATTTTTTTTCTAGAACGGCATAGCTTAGGTTGCACATATTAATGTGGAAGCCGTGTTAAGAAGTGCTGATTTAAGATTGTTCACCCCTTGAGGGTTTATATACCATATAGAGAAAATCTCTAAAACTGAACAAAAATGGAAATGGCATCACAAATTGGTATTTAAATTTGATAAGGTTGAAAAAAGAGGGTGTTTCACCATCCATTTGTCAGCCTCAGTGGCTCTGGTAAATTGCATATGCGTATTCCTTGGACAAGACCGACTCTTTTGACTTGTCATGAGCTTTCCTTCACAGGATCTGTTGTTTAACAAACACATTTGTCTTATATATTTAATGTATTACATGAACATTTAAAAACTTTTCAAATACAAAATAAAACACAAAAATATAGTTGCTACTAAGTGATAAAATATAATCATTCTAGCTAGAATATCAATTATAAGGACGGATTCTTTTGCTAAGTTGTGTTTCTTCATACAAGTGTGTATTGATCAACTTCATATGATGTACAGATATTAAAATTAGTATATGACAGATTTCTCAGTAGATTAACAGCTAACTCACTGTTGTTGTTATATTGAACACTTTACATATAAGTAGATTCCGCTACTCCATCTCTGTCGTGTTTCCCATTCACTACAGTGGAACCATTCTGTGTTTGCACTCCGTTTCCTTTCTCATTGGAAGTGTAACCAGCATTTACAAACCCACTGTCACTCGGGGGCTTATCTTTTTCTGCTTCAACTTTTTCTGATTTCTCTGGTTCTTTCCAGAAGATCATGGCAAGGATAAACATGGTTCCGCTGAAGACTTTGACGCAGGACCACCAAGCAAATAGTCGCCAGCTCATTTCATACCTGTCATACACCCCACAAGATCCGCGCGCCCCGCACAGGTCTTGCCAAAGTCCACACGCTGTGTCTATGACGTACCCTGTCAGCACAGGGCCAGGGATCGTACCTGTGAATAGGGTACATACAAACTAAATTGTAAATTCTCTCTACGATGTGCATTTGTACAATTAAAATTTTAGTTAGAAAATTACACGAATGACTCCTATAATACCTAAAAGTCTTAGTACCACCCACTGCATTCCAAGGGCTAGAGCTCTGTGTTCATCTGGAACACACCTGTAAATGACAAAAGAAAACTGATGAACAGTGAAAAAACACATAGGCCTATGTAGTTATCTTGTCTGTTGCTTGGTTTCGCGAAGTTTACCGTAAAATCGCCATAGAAACAGGTGTCACAGTTGTCAAAGTACACAACATTCCAAGAAACAAGAGGAAGATGAAGAGATAGACGAGCGGACAGGAAGTAGAACATTCTCCGGACGTGGCCACAGTTTTGTTTCCACCTGAAGACACATTGAAGAGATTGGCATTGGCACAGGAACACTCATGAAATGTCTGTAAATGATTCATACAAACTTCTTTCAGATTAAAACGTTCATCATTAAAATGGAGAGGAAAACAGAAAGGAAATCAAAAGGATCTATTTATTGACAAGTTAAGAATGGAAAAAATAAAGATATAGCAAACAGTGGTCAATCTAAAAAATCTGCAAAAATAAAACTGTGAAAAGAGCATGAAAAAAGAAGACCGCTGGAAATACTAGAGGTTGGAGATTGGGTGCTTAAGAGAAACTGTATGTATCCCCGGTTTGACAGATCAGATACAGATGGAACATTCCGTAGCCAAAGTCTTAACTTTAAAAACAAGGTTGGTTCGAATAACGTCAGTCAAAATAAAACCCAGTGTGAGTTTATTTTTGTTAACAAGGTTAGTTCAATGACCATAGAGTTTACGAAATGCTTATCTATCATTAGCCTGCTTCTTTTAAAAATTGATCGTACTCAAAGCATGCTCCTGAATATCGACTGGGTTTTGAGAAGTTTACACCATATGACCATACTTCATAAGGATAGTTCACTGGTATAGAAAGTAAACATTAAGACCAGTAAGCTACAAACATGGTCAGAGGCGGTAGGGAACCTCAAAACAAGATGCTGATATCAAAGAATATTAATATGGACAGACCTTTGTTGTTCCCTCGGCAGTGTAGTTGTCATTGCAGCCCGCGTGACAGGGAGAAAAGTAAGTGATGCCGTCATTTCCACATACAGGGTCATACTGCTTCATGTTACAGCCACAGTTAGCGATACACAATCCTTGTAGAGCATCACTGCTGTCTTCACTTCTATACAAAACAGGTGAAAACTTAGCATAACCATTGCACCGGTACAAATATTGCAATGGATCGTTTTGCAGGACAGTCGAGAACATTTTATTTATTTCAACCTAAAAAATAAAACTATAGCATAAACACTTGCCCAGATTTAGCATATGACACTGTTATTCCGGCGAAACTGGTTTCCTCGCAGTTTATGAAGAAGCCTGCTCCTACCAGAAGTCCCACGAAAGACATCAGAAGACACAGTCTCATCATCCCACGCATTCCTAGTCTCAGACACTTAATTAACAATCCTCCAAGGACCATACCTCCTGCTCCTCCCAGCAGCGTGACTCCACCTTTACAAAGGGGAACATATTTATATTAATGAATGAAATATCATAATTTTAAAATATTTTATTTTTAGTATTCATAGCAGTACTAGTGTACCCATGATTAGGCCCGATTCAGATGGTAACATATTGAACTTTTCCTCAAGAATCTTTGGGGCGAAAGCAGCAAGTCCTGCAATGATGATGGTCTCTGCAGCTCCTCCCAAGTTAAGTACCACATACATCGGAATTTTTACCTGTTCGATTATATAATTTGTGTAATATTTCGTTGCATGTACTATGGAAGAATCATCAGATTTTCACTGTAAGCGGTTTCCAAAAAAAAAAAAAATGTGTGTAACTTACGAGGATTAATAGGGCTTTTGGAAAATCCAACAGTTTTTTACTCAAAGGTCGTGTATCTTTTGCTTTCTTCTCTTCATACTTTACGTCTGCCTCTGTCTTCCTAGCATCACGAATATGTTTTGTACCTTTAAAAGTAAACAAATCTTATTTCAGAAATCTTAGTGTGACTGAAAACTTGATGTATCTATGTAGATACCAAATAGATAACTGGATCACTTGCAAAGTTTTTTTTCATATAACAGACCTGGCAGATTGATGGGATAGCCAAAGAGGGGGAAAGACACCAACAGAAAGCCCACTGCTGTTACTACAAACCCCAACCACCACGCTCCAACCCAGACCGGATCCATCGGGGTGAGTTCATTCATAATTCTGTGGAGAAAAACGTGTTCGAATGAGTACAATGCTAAATGAGGCATTTATCCTGAGATCTGATATAAGTTTGATACTAGTGCCGTACTTGTCCACGTCCACTTCAGCCTTGTCAATGTCTACCCACAAGTTGAGGAACAGACCTCCACCCATATACCCAGCGGCCACACCGAGGGCGGTAATTGCGTAAATCAAACCTGTGAATAAAAAAAAACCCAGAATACTTTGTTTTTCAAAGAATGTTTTTGAAGACTAAAATGTACCGGCATTTTATTTATTTATCCAAAGCTACAGGATGAACTTAATACCGAGATAAAGAGCCGTGGAAGTGCTTGGAGCGTTGTCATCAACATAGGCTGTTCCCAAGGTGAACATGGGTGTGAACCCTATACCGTGAACAAACTGTGCCAGCATGAACACGTACAGATAATTGGAACCCGACTGAGTGATGCATTCTGGGTCGACATTACTGGCACTGCATACATGTGATGTGTTGCCACTTGTAGCTAAAAATAAGGTTAATTAAAGCACATCTCATTAATTTTTATAATGTTTTTCTTGTTCAACATATTTCAGAGTTCATAGAACGTATTTCTTTGATTGGTTCTTAGATTTAATCTTACAAATGTACTCATATGGTCCAGATGCAACGTGTGGAATGGTAAAAATGAAAGACCCAACAGCCATTAGGAAACTTCCAGCAGCAATCCATTTTGGTCTATTTCCCTTTGCCCCATAGTAACTGACGATAAGGACGAAAATGACAGCGCCGATATCGGTAGAGCTGACGATGAGAGCTGACTGAGAACTGGGCAACTTGTACTGCCTCTCTAGGGTCGTCAAGGCGATATTCACAACGCCATTAACAGCAGCGCCCTCTACGAAACCAAATATACATAGCCAGAGAACAAACCATTTCACATTGAGAAAGAACCTTCCCCATCTGCAAAGGCAACGTAAAAACAATCTATGAAATAATATGTTTATACCTTCAATACAAAACATGTTGCAGGTCCATATTATCTGTAAGACACGTGTAGAATAGTTGACCCAATGATCATTTTTATTAAAAACAAATCAATTTCGTCAAGAAAGAAACTGAAACTTAGATTCACAGTGCTCAAGAACCATTTATGTACTAGTTGGCTAAAAAACCCGTGCACATACAAATATGTTCAAATCTTTGAAAATATCATTCCAATTAATGTAGTCGTAGTTACACTTTACTCACTTCCCGTAGGTGCACGTCAATTTGCTGTCATCTTCTTCTTGTTTTGACTTTTTACTTTCCTGAAATTTAAGTATTTAAAAATCAGCCATGTCTGTGTAAATCAATGCTTGTTTGCAAACTTTACGTACATTCATAATAAGCCAAGAAAAAATTCCACCCTGGGTCATTGGTTCAGGTTTTATGGCGAGTCTCAAATCTACATTAATTAAACTTTTTATGTCCCCGTAATCGAAGATTCGGGATATATAGTTTTTGGCGAGTCCTTCCGTCTGTCTTTCTGTCTGTCTGCTTGTCCGCAAAAACTTTGACTTTGCCCATAACTTTTGATTTAGTGAAGCTACGACTTTCATATTTCACATGTAGGGAGAAGGCTAAAATAGGCTTCGCCTGCTGCCCAATCCCAGTCACTTATTTGAATAAAATTTTGTATAAATAAACAAGAGGCCCATGGGCCTTATAGGTCACCTGAGCATTATGCAACAACTTTCCAGTGATTTAATTTGATTCATGTTTTAAGCCAGATGCTATGGCGTTCACAATTTTGAAAGAGGCACCATTGATCATCATAACAATACACTTAGCAGTTGCTTAGTTTGTTTACTTAATACCCATAGGCAGGGTGGGGGAACAAAAAATGCATTTCTAGTAATCAGTAATAGTCAGCAATAATCAGTAATGCCCCTATCACACATGAACCCCTGACCCTTAGGCCTAGATCCACACATTGCACAATTTTTGAAAAGGCACCCTTGCTTTTCAAAAATATTTGATTATTACCAAGGAGCAGATCTCAAACAATTCATCCAGTTTCAGTATATAAGTACACCCCCCCTATGGTACCCCTGACCCTGGGGTCTTGAAATTCACAATTCTGGATGATCAGGGTCCTTGCTCATCATAACCACATAGGTAGTTCATCTGCTTAATACCCAAAAGCTGAGAAGAAAATTTTCAAAGATTTAATGTATTTTCACTATATAATCAATAGAGCCCCGCCCTATCACTAGAACCCCTGACCCTAGGGCCATAAAATCAAAATTTTGGAAGAGGTATTCTTGCTCATCATAACTATGTACTTAGTTTATTTAATTCCTAGGAGCAGAAAAGAAATTTTTTCAAAGAATTCATGTATTTTCACTATATAATCAATAGAGCCCCGCCCTAACACCCGAACCCTGACCCTGGGGCCATAAAATTCACAATTTTGGTAGAGGCACTCTTGCACATCATAACTATGCACTTAGTTAGTTTATTTAATACCCAGGAGCAAAGAAGAAGATTTTCAAAGAATTCATGTATTTTCACTATATAATCTATAGAGCCCCACCCTAACACCAGAACCCCTGACCCTGGGGCCATAAAATTCAGAATTTTGGTAGAGGTACTCTTGCTCATCATAACTATGCACATAGTTAGTTTATTTAATACCCAGGAGCAGAGAAGAAGATTTTCATAAAATTCATGTATTTTCACTATATAATCTATAGAGCCCCGCCCAAACACCAGAACCCCTGATCCTAGGGCCATAAAATTCACAATTTTGGTAGAGGCACTCTTGCTCATCATAACTATGCACTTAGTTAGTTTATTTAATTCCCAGGAGCAGAGAAGAAGATTTTCAAAGAATTCATGAATTTTCACTATATAATGTATAGAGCCCCGCCCTAACACCAGAACCCCTGACCCTGTGGCCATAAAATTTACAATTTTGGTAGAGGCACTCTTGTTCATCATAACTATGCACTTAGTTAGTTTATTTCATACCCAGGAGCAGAGAAGAAGATTTTCAAAGAAATAATGCATTTTCACTATATACTTATTTAGCCCCGCCCTAGCAATAGAACCCCTGACCCCAGGGCCATGAATTTCACAATTTTGGTAGAGGACTCAATGCTGATTACAATAATGCAAACAGTTTGACTGCTTGATGTCCAGGAGTAAAGAAGAAGATTTTTAAAGATTGCATTAATTTTAGTGGTTTTTGCCCCACCCCCAGGCCCCAGGGGGGCAGGGACCATGAAATTCACAATTTTTGTTCCCCTTCATCCATAGATGCTTTGTGCCAAATTTGGTTGAAATTGGTTCAGTGGTTGCAGAGAAGAAGCTGAAAATGTTCAAATGTTAACGGACAACGCACAACGCACGACGCACGACGACGGACGAAAACAGATAGCAATAGGTCACCTGAGTTTACTCAGGTGACCTAAAAAAAAATTTCACATGTGTTTTCCTTGTGATAAGACCTTTCTTTGGGTACCACCAAATTTGACCTTGGAGTTTGACCCACTTTCACATAAACATTCCTAACTGTTACTTTAGCCATAACTTTGGAACTGTAGACTTTCATACTTCACGTCTGTATTCTTTGTGGCAAGACTTTTTATTGGATACCAACAATTTTGTCCTATTTTAAATTGACCTTGGAGATTTACTACTTAAGAAATTTTTTTTAACCTTGGCCATAACTTTTGAACGGTAAGGGCTATGGATTCCATATTTCACATATGTAATCCTTGTGAGAAGACCTTTTATTGGATACCAAGAACTTTGACCCTTTGACCTTGGAGTTTGACCTACTTTTAAAAAACAGGCCTTGACCATAACTTTTGAAGGGTTAGGGCAAGGGCTTTCTTATTTTCTTAGGTCGATTTGACCCCCTCAAAAAGTCTTTTTATTGCCAAAATGAATGTTCAATTTTATCTGGGTTTTTTAGAACTATGTCTGTACTAAAAAAATATTTCAAAAATTTTGCTTTTGTGCAAATATTTTTCTCCTAATTTGTAATTAACGAATGTTGTTTGATTTAATCTTATTTTTCAACTGAAATAATTCTATTCTTTTTCGCGAAAGATTTTTAAACTGAATTTCCGTGCGACTTAATTTTATGTTTATGAATCCTCAAGAGAAAAGGATTTTAAAATATACTTTGGTAAGAAACTGTGAAAATTCTAAATCATATCCCTTAAAGAAATATATTGATAACGTAAATTACAATTTCATTGCTATTCAAACCAAAAATTAATATTTTCTTGAACTTATTTTCACTCATCTAAATGACATACAGTATTTTCAAACACCCATCAAATGCCACAAATACTGATTATTTTTCATCCTTTTGAGAGATTTACAGTTAGATATAATGATAACGCAAGATCTGCTGTCAGAATGTACTTTTCCTTTATTTTTCTAAAGAAGTCTCTCCCTATTTTATCTTCTCTCACTCCCTATATGCTTTTTAAATTTCTTCTTTCGACCTTACCATCTCTGATAAACGAAGTTTATGAAATACCGGGGTATAATTACAGAGAAAGGCATTTAGAGCATATTCTAATGCAAATGTTTTGTAAAACACTCTTTGATTGGCTAATGCACTGGTGTTTGAAGCAGTAAAACGAGCATTAACGAGCGTGAAAGCTTTTTCATTGTGACGTCATAATAGAGCGACGCAAAAACACAATGCTCCGTGACGTATTTCATATAACAAAATTCAACAAAATAAGACGTAAACAACAAACAAAATGCATGTATTGCATTAGAATGGGAATAACTAATCTTCTAATTTGGTATTTGCGACCGTTAATGCTGATTTAACGGTCGCAAACATCTGTTTTACCGGCTCTGCTTACGCATCGCCGGTTAAACTCAGTTTGCGACCGTTAAATCAGCATTAACGGTCGCAAATATCAAATTAGAAGATAGTTATTCCCTAATTTAATTTACGTTATTTTTACTGTAATTTACGTTATGAATGTTTTGCTTCAGTAAGTCACCAATGAACAGAGATTTATGGGTGAACTATTGCTTCAAATAAAAAGAAGTACACATTGTTTGTAAAATCAATTAAAATTCACGCCAAAAATGCATTCTTGACGAATCAATAAAGAAATATTTGAAAGTTGGTAAAAGTAACACGTAATTTACGTTATCTGATGGCTCTTCCTGCATCAGATCCACATCGGAAGTTCGATGATGTTAAGATGCTCTCGAGAGAAAACCAATAACGTTTCCTGCATGGTTCCGTATTGTTCCGACGTCTTATTTGCAAGATACATGTATGTACCATGTATGTTTTCTACTGATAACGTAAATTACATAACGTAAATAACTTTTTATGTTTTATTGGTGTAAAATGTGTACTCGCACAGATCAATGCTCGTATTGATATTTTACGTGTTTGGTACGTCAGGAAGAATAAATAAATTGGTATGCAAAGACACTTAAACTCGTATTCTTGAAGTATCGTTGATAACGTAAAATACATTCTTAAAACGAACCGCTCACCTCTGGTTACAAGACCAATGTGTTTTTGTAAGCATTCTGTCATATAACTTTTCTTTGATTCTGGTTGCACTTTATGGACTTTGTTGGATATTCTAGTAGATATTTTATGTGTTTAGATACTTTTTCATGTTCTTTAAACAAATAATAATATTTTGATAACGTAAATTACACAAATTTTGCGACATGGTTATTTTACACTTTTTTTAAAATTTCACTGTAGACAAATATTTTCAAGTGCGAAAATTCAGTATATTTATGCATTGTTACATGTAAAAGTCCTAACTTTTAGCACAAAATATAATTGCTGTGTTTTATTCTACGGTCCAAACTTTGCCCTATGCCCGTGCGACAGATTAAAAAGCCACTTTTTAGACTATATACTTCGATCCCAGGGAGGTTTTAACCTGTGTATTATAATTTAACTCTGTTGATTTGGTAACTAAACGTAGTCACAAACAAAATACTACAAAATTTACCAGTTACTTCAATACTAATATAATTTAAAGTGCTTGCGACATCCAAATAGCGCATTTGGATGGATTATGTGAGAATAGGTGATATATCAACTTCACTTCCCTTTATATATAATGATATAAACATTCCTATTAATTGCAGAAAAACATGTGAATAATACTTGAATAATGTATTTTTGACCGTTGTATATTTCTATAAGATATGCCACTTTTGCTTCTTGCAGACAGACTCGAAACTACGATTGTGAATAGCAAGTTGAACCTCTTCCAAACCATCGTCGGAACCCACGGGTTTTCTCTCCGTTACACGG